AAAGAAAGATCAGCCTAAGCAAGGATGAGATCCTGTCTCTAAAAATAGCCAAGTGTTCCGATGGGCACCTAGTTCCAGCTACTTGCGAGGCTGAGGAAGAGGAATGCTTGAGCCCAGGAAACTGGGGTGGCTGAGAGCTGTGATGCCACAGCAAAATACAAAGAGTGACAAAGTGAGACACTGTCTCAAACATAAAATAAAATAGGTCGTGCCTATCGCTCACTGAGTAGGGTGCCAGCTACATACACCCTGGGTGACAGGTTATAAAAACCAGTATAGAAGTGCTATTATGTAAGAACAAAAGAAAGAAACCCAGGATTCTCAAAAATCATTCCCAATTAATCTGCACTTCCCTAATCATATTATGCTGTGTGGTTTCCTCCTTGAACTTTGGACCTCCGACCACTGTTATCTGTCACATTCGGTCCAACCTACCTGGGTGCTTGACTACTGTCTGGTGTGCCTTCCCCTTCCAGGGTTCTTTGCTTTGCTCCAGACAGGTGATGAGGTCTGGCTTAGAGAGAGTAAGACCTGTTTTATTAGAAAAAAAGGAACATGACTCTTGTTGGAATTCTTCAAGTGGTCATCTATTACCTTGCTAAAGTAGAGAAAAGAACACTTTAGAACATCCTGAAAGAATAATCGCCAAATACACATCCTTATATAAATTTTAGAATCTTTAAAAAGTATTTAAAGTTGGAGGATTTTTAACTCCACCACTCAGTAGTACTGACATAAATTGGTGCTAGAAGTAAGACTTAAAGGTGTGGATAACAATCTATACCACTAAATTTCTGAAATTACCATTAATCTAGTGAAGGATATAAATCAGCCCAAAAAAGGGTAAGATTAATGCCACTATAAGTCATCTTTGATATTTTCTTTTCTATACTATGATATACTTAAATTTTCCTTAAAAACAAGAAACCGGGGCAGTGCCTATGGCTCAAGGAGTAGGATACTGGCTCCATATACCAGGGGTGGTGAGTTCAAGCGCAGCCCCAGTCAAAAATGCAAAAAAAAAAAAAGAAACTGATACTCATGCAGCCAAAGAAGAAACTGAATAAAAACCTTCTACAAAGAGAGAATATGAATAGCTTAGTGTAGACCAGAAGCTGTGTATTTCAGTTCTCCTCACCTAGGAAGACCAGGTGTCTGTAGTTCTCCAACATGACATCCCGATACAAAGTCTGCTGAGCAGGGTCCAGGCAGGCCCACTCATCCACAGAGAAATCTATAGACACGTCCTGGAATGTCAACAGTTCCTGAAAAACAAACATATTTACCAAGAAGGCAGAGGGAGACTGAATTTCACTTTTAGTTAAATGAGTGAAGAGAATTTGTTCTGACTTATATGAAGGACTGGAATTACCTAATAAGGTAAGTATGGAAGAGACATATTCCCTCATGTGTTGTCTAACACGGAGGAAAGGGGACGGCATAACGTCCACAAAACTAGTGTATACACTACACTTTTTTGTTTGACACAATAGAAATGAAAGGCCACCAATACTGGCATGTATACTTTTGTGCCTTATTTACCTCATACAGTATAAGGTGTGTACATTTCATATGAAACTGTCATGATGAGGCTCTGCACCTGTAGCTCAGAGGCTAGGGCGTCAGTCACATGTACCTGGAGGGCTGGAGGGTTTGAATCTGGCCAAACAACAATGAAAAGTACAAGAAAAATAGCCGGGACTCTACAGTACCACAGTGGTTACCGCGCCAGCCACATACACTGAGGCTGGTGGGTTTGAACCAGGCCCAGGCCAGCTAAGCAATAATGACAACTGCAACAAAAAATAGCCTGGCATTGTGGCAGATACCTGTAGTCTCAGCTACTTGGGAGACTGAGGCAAGAGAATCGCTTAAGCCTAAGAGTTTCAGGTTGCTATGAGCTGTGATGCCACATGACTCTAATGGGGCAACATAGTAAGACTCTGTCTCAACAACAACAAAAAAATCATCATGGTGAGTTAAATGACACCTCTAACGTTTAAATGTGTGCAATAAAGAACTGGAGATCTTGGCTCGGCGCCTATAGCTCAACCGGCTAAGGCGCCAGCCACG